CGGAGCGAAGCGGGGCGGGCCCGGCGCCGTCACTGCGTCTGGGCGCCCAGCCTGGCCTCGGCCACCGCCGCCCGCGCTGGGGGAGACTGGAGGGCAGAGGGGGTGGAGCCTCCAGGTGCCCCCAAGGGAGCCGTGGAACCCAGAGACCCTTCGGAGAGAGACATTCATTCCCATGGGTAGACCCCAAGCCAAGTGCTCGCTAAGGAAGACACTCACTGAAAGATAGTCCCCCCGGGGACTCCTAGAGACCCTGCAGGGAGACCCTCCTCTGGAGACGGAGTTTCTCCACCGATGCCCTCTCCAATCCAGAGCCGCCCCCTCCGGAAGGCGACGGAAGAAGAATTAAGATGCGCTATGCACATCCACCAGCTCCCCACGATGAATGTAATTAGTATGTACTGCAAACGTGTAGTAATAAAAATAAAAATGTTAATAAAAAGAACTGTTTCCCACCCTCAAAATCACTCCTGACAGATGGTGTCTGAGAGGGCTGGTTTCATCTCCAAGCCACCCCGCCCTGCACACCCAGAGGCATTTCCTCAGGGAAATATCCATGGGTGACATCATGTGGGACCTGGGAGAGGGTCCCTAAGGAGAGACCCCACAGGCCACATTGTGGGAAACGACCCTGGAGTCCCAGGAGGGACGTCCTTATGGAGGGGGATCCCTCGGGAAATGCCCCTCAGAAAGACATTGACGGCGCAGCGAGGGGAGGGAAGGGGAAGAGAGAGAATTAAGATGTGTACGCGCACCAGCTCCCCCCAGGAATGTGATCAGTATGTTCTGCAAATATGCACTAATAAAAAAATTTTAAAAATCAAAAAAGAAAAACATTTTTATGCACACACACCCCCGACCTGTAACCCCTTCAGCGACTCCTCCCTCGCGTTTAGGATTAAAGAGCCAGGCCAAGTCGGACTATAACAGAGCGATTAGCTGGTAGTTAGTGGGGTGAGGAGGCTGGAGCGATTTTCAAGCTCACCCCGTGTGCACACAGCTGAGCCCAAGCCAATCATGCTTTTCGGAGTTGGGGAGGGGGCTCCGGGGCCCTGCGGGCAGCAAGCGCTGCCGCCTGGGGACTGGGCGGGACGGGCTTCCCCCCGGTGCATCCAGGAGCTGGCCCTGGGGCTGAAGGGTGCGGTCACCCGGAGAGAGCGACCCCTGCCGACCACCCAGGCCACAGCGGGGTCTGAATTGGTCCGGGAGGTTCCTACGATCCTGCCCGTCTCTGCGGCCTCGCTTATGCTGGGTCTGTGCCTCTTATGGCACTTTTGGGTCGTCTTTCCCTGCGCGTTTATCTCCGCCCAAAGCCTTGACTCCCAGCGCCGAGGCGGCTGCGGGAGCTCTCCGTGGTCCTAGCCTTGCGCACTCCTGTCCGCGGTGCTGAAAGGCCAGCTCAGGCTCGGAGACAGAGTACAGGGGGAGGGAAGGATGTGGACTTTGGCAGGAGACATAGCCCAGGGACAAAGGAACTCTGTCCTGCAAGTACCCAGTGCAAGATGGACCAAAGGAAGGCTGGGTCCTGTAGGTATGTTGGCCGAAGCCCCAGAACATTTCTAGGTGTCCACAGGAGACTCAGAAATAGTGTGTACTGACTTACTCCTTTACTCAACACTTATTGAGCACCTACTATGTGCAGTACAGTGCTTTAGATTCTGGAAGTACAGCAAAGAAAAAACAGAGACGAGCAGGGTGGCACCTGCCAGTAATTCAAACACTGAGGAGGCTGAGGCAGGAGGATCACCTTGAGTTCAATTCCAGTCTGAACTACATAGCGAGGACCTGTCTCAAAAAAACTATAAAGCCAGGCGTGGTGGCGCATGCCTGTAATCCCAGCACTCAGGAAGCTGAAGCAAGAGGATCGTTGCGAATTCGAGACCAGCCTGGGCTACATAAGTGAGCTCAAGGCCAGCCTGAACTGCATAGTGAGATCCTGTGTCAAAAAGACAAAAACAAAAAAACAAAACAAAAAAAAAAAACAACCAACCCTATAAAAAACGAACTAGGCATGGCGGCACACACCTGTAATCCCAGCACTTGGGAGTCTGAGGCAGGAAGATCCCACTGAATTTGATGGCCAGCTGGACTACACGGCAAAACCTTTTCTAAAAACAAAACAAAACAAAAACAAAAAACACCAGACAAAAAAGAGAGACAGACAGAAATCCTGCCTCACTTTGAGATGGAGATGAGGCCGGGCATGGTGGTGCATGACTGTAATCCCAGCATTCAGGAGGCCGAGGCAGGAGTTGTGAGTCTGGGACCAGCCTGGGCTACAAAGTACGCCCAAGTCCAGCCTGAACTGCATAGTGAGACTGTCTCAAAAAGACAAAAAAAAAAAAAAAGAGAGATGGAGATGAGATAACTTGTGGTGGTGTACACTGTTCACAAAAACATATATGTACACCCTGCAGAAACAGGCACACACATTGTGCACACAGGCATGAATATGAACACAAATACACATGTTCAGCAAACACGCATATGTGTGCTCACACTTTGCAAGCATACGCTCAACAAATGCAGACATGCTTAAATACCTTCTTCAAACACATACACACACTTAGGAACACATACTTAGGAAATGCAAGTATACGAAAACACACATGTTCTCCGCATGCATGTACCACATAGACCTATATATTCTTCTACCTTGTTTTTTTGTTTGTTTGAGACAGGATATTGCTGCCCTTGAGCTCACTATGTAAATCAGGCTGGTCTTGAACTCTCAGTCATCCTTCTGCCTCAGCCTCCTGAGTGTTTTGTTTTGTTTTTTGTCTTTTTGACACAGGGTCTCACTGTGAAGTTCAGGCCAGCCTTGAGCTCACTTTGGAGCCCCGGCTGGTCTCAAACTTGCAGCGATCCTCCTGCCTCAGCCTCTTGAGTGTTGGGATTAGAGGCATGTGCCACCACACTAGCCAGCCATACAAATTCTGAAAATACACACACATCAAAAATACTCTAGAAACACAGACCCACACACAAACATACATAAACACACACACAAACCCACACTTTGAGAACATACAAGTACACACTAGGTAACACAGATATACACACTTATCAAATCAGTAACACATGGATGCTCAGTCGACAGATCTTCAGTCACTGAATTCCTACATCAAAGAGTGCCCAGTCACACAAAAATCCTTACCCAACACAGACATTGTGCTCCCAACACAACCCAGCAGTGCTGTGTTCCCCCGCCAACTCTGCCACCAGCATGTCAGTGGAGAGTGTCGTGTCATGTTCACTACCACCTCCCAGGGCACACAGGGTGCTCAGGAGGTGTTGGGTGAATGGATGGGTGAGCTTAAGGAATGTTCACAAAGACACATTCACAGATGCTGCAGAGGGACCCAGCAACATACACGAGCACATGCTTCAGACAGACACACAACACGCATGACAGTGTTCCCTTGTTAACTCATGATCAACTCTACTGAGTTACCCACAGCATCTTCAAAAGCATACCTACCCTGGGCCCTCCCTCCCAGGTCATCATTATTTTGTGTTTTTTTGAGACAAGGCCTGGCTATGTAATCCAGGCTGGCCTTGAACTTGCTATGTAGCCCAGGCTGGTCTTGAATTTGTGGCAATCTTCCTGCCTCAGCCTCTTAAGTGCTGGGATTATAAGAGTGTGCCACCTCTCCTGACTCCCTCAGGTTTATTTTGATACATATTCTCAACTGCACACACTTGGACCAGGACACATACTGAGATTCTGAACATACACACACACACACACACACACACACACACACAGACCAAACACAGATACAGAGTTTAAGATAAAAGCTCAATATAAGGGCTAGCACATAGGTATACACACAAGCCCCAAATCCATCGGCTTTTGTAGGCGGGCCAGGGGCGGGGCTATGGGAAGTCCCACCCACATCTCAATCCACACCCCTTTCTGCTGCCACAGTGCCCCGGCCTCCTGAGCGGTCCCGGCAGCCACTAGACTCCAGTCCGGCTCACAGGTGAGGGGCTGGGCCCGGGAGGCGGGAAGGGGCTCGGCTCGGTTCCACACACAGGAAGCCTCCCCTGCCCGAGCTTCTGGACCCCACCAGGATCCTGGCTCTGGTACAGCCAAGCTGGGTCCCAAGCTTGCACAGTGCTGCTGGCAGTTCCTAAGCCGATTGTAAGCTGGGAGAAGGTGACCGTGAGACAGGCTGGCAAGAAGGAGGGAGGAGGCTGGACAAAGTGAGGGAGGAATTACAGCTCAGGAGGGGGATTGGAAGAGCTGGGATGGCCCTCTTGGCCCTGAAGACAGCGGGAGAGGCTGAGGACTGCAGGGTGGAGGAGACCTGTTGTACGGTGTCTCCAGCTGGCGGTGGCATCTGGTCCTGAAGGGGTGAGAGGGCCGTGGATCTGTTAGGATGGCACTGGGGTCAAAGCAGCCCTGATCACCCCAGGCCCTGGAAGTGAAGGGCTCACTGGGGACCCATCCCCGGTGCCACCTGTGGGTGTGATCTGAGGGTGCCACCCTGAATCCAGAAAGGAACCGCCACAAACACGCCTCCAAGCCCAGCTGCCCTTACCCAAGGAAGATATGGCCTGCAAGAGCCATGCTCGGCCCAGGGGTCTGGCCTGGGCCCTGCCACCAACCCTGGCATGGATACTACTGGGGACCTGTGGTGGGAGTCACACACTTCGAGCCAGGTCTCAGGGCTGCCATGGGCTGGCAGCTGAACTGGACACAGGAGAGCTGCACCTGGAAGGTGAGTACCCAAACCCCCACTCTACCAAAACAATGCCAGGATGTCATTAGAGGGGCTCCAGGTGGCCAAGAATGATGTGTTAGAGCACAGACTCTGAGCTGGGCCTGGTAGCACACACCTGTAACCCCAGTACTTGGGAGGCTGAGGTAGGAGGACTTCCAGTTTGAGAAACATAGCCAGACTGTGTCTCAAAATAAGTAAATAAATAACCCAACAACATGGGCTGGGGATATAGCTTAGCGGTACAAGCATTTGCCTGGCAAGCACAAGGTCCTGAGTTTGATTCCCGGTACCAAAAAAAACCATAGCAATAATAACTCAACAACAACTAGCCAGGCATGGTGGCACCCGCCTGTAATCGCAGGACTCAGGAGGCTGAGGCAGGAAGATCATTGAGAGTTCAAGGCCAGCCTGGGCTACAGTGTGAGCTCAAGGCCAGCCTGAACTGCACAGCGAGATTTTGTCTCAAAAAGACAAAAAACAAAGCAAGAAAAAAACCAAAAGCAAACAAACTTGATGTGATGTCAAACTGCTTGGTTTCCAATCCAAATCCCAGATCTGCTACTTCATATCTGTGCCTCCCTGGGCCACTAAAAATAGAAAATAACAGAGCTACCAAGGAAGTGTCTTGAAAGATTAAGCATAGGGACACATACCATTTCTAGGTGCAAGACAAATCTAAGCTGATTACAAGCCATAATCATTCCTGCTAGAAGTATACCTGCGGCTCGAGAAGGATCTTTAAGGTTCATGTTTGATTTTGGTTGTGGTTTTTTTTGTTTTTTTCTTTTTGTCTTTTTGAGACAGGGTCTCACTATGCAGTTCAGGCTGGCCTTGAGCTCACTTTGTAGCCTAGACTGGTCTCGAACTCACAAGGATCCTCCTGCCTCAGCCTCCTGAGTGCCACCTGCTCCATGGTGGCAGGAGTGTGCCACCATGCCGGTTGTGGTCTTTTGAGGCAACATCTAACTATGTAGCCCAGGCTGGCCTCGACCTCAAGGTGATCCTCCTGCCTCAGCCTCCTTAGTGCTGGGATGACAGGTGTACACCCCCACACCTGGAGGGTTTTCTGAGTTTTCTCTTTGAGTGGACTTATGTAACTGTAGCGTCCTTTTTCAGAGGACTCTACAGCTTCATTTCCCCAACCTTACTTGATGATTCAAGCCCCTGGCTCGCAGGCAGCCCCATCGCCAGCGCCTTGTTGTCCCTCCGAGGTGGACAGACCCAGCGCACAGGGCCCTGCAGCCGGCCGTGAACACTGTGGGGCGCCGACTCCTGGGTGAGTACAGTGCCCCCTAGTGTGGCCCGGGCCTGGGATCAGGACCCTGTCCCCTTCCCCGGGTCCTGACCATCGGCCCTGTCTCCGAGGTCCAGGTGCAAATCCTTTCTGGGACATCTGCAGCGCGCCCTCCACCGTCGCTTCCGCCTGCTGCTACTGGGGCTGCGCCGGCCACCACCGCTCTGCGCCGAGCTCTGCGAGGCCTGGTACGCGGGGGGGCGGGGCCTAGGGTGGGGCCCGAGGCTCGGCCTCGCAAGGGGAAACGGCCTGGCCTGCCTGCAGCCACCCCAGGAACCTGTGTCTAGGAAAGAAGTCTAGCATTCAGGGACAGAGCAGAAAGGGGAGCAGCATGAGGCCCTCTGGCTTTAAAGATGGCAATTAGGGGCGTGGCCGCTTATGGGCCTGAAAGTTTACTTATTGGTTGTTTTTTTTTGCTTACTTATTTTTTTGTGACAGGCCTTGAATTCACTAGGTAGCCCAGGCTGGCCTTGAACTCACAGCAATCCTGCTTCAGCCTCCTGAATGCTGGGATTTCAGGGATGCACCACTATGCCTGGTTCTTATTTTTTATTTTTTAATTTTCTTGGCACTGAGGATTGAACCTAGGGCCTGCACACTGAAATACATCACTAGCGCTTTTTTTTTTTTTTTTTTTTTTTTTTTAATGTATATACAGGGTCTCTCAAGTGTCCACTCTGGGCTCAAATTTTCATTTCTCTTGCCTCAGCCTCCCAGAGTGCTATGATTACAGGCTTGGACCACCATGCCAGGGAGGTATGTTTTTTAAAGCACAGAACCCTTGATTGAAAAGAGAAAAGTAAACGGTGAGCATGTCAGGGGCTAACTTGAACACATTCATAGGGTCTGTAGAGATGAGGTTGTGTGACACGGCCTGGTTAGCAGTAAAAGGAGCTGAAACTATCTGTGCACCTGTGCATTGCAGGGTATGGCTCAGGGGCAGAACACTTTCTTAGCATGTGGAAGGTCCTGAGCTCAATCACAAGCACCTTAAAAATAAATAAAATTCATTACATAAAAGAAGCCACCAGTCACTCGGGAAGCTGAGGCAGGAGGATCCTTGCAAGTTTGAGATCAGCCTAGGCTACAAAATGAGTTCAAGGCCAGCCTGAAGTGCATAGCAAGACCCTGTCTCAAAAACACACACACACACACACACACACACAAAAAGAAGCCACCAGGTGTGGTGGCACATGCCTAGAATCCCAGCACACAGGAGGCTGAGGCAGGAAGATCACATGGAGCTCGAGGCCAGCCTGAGCTTCACAGTGAGTTTAAAGACTGTATGAACTACATAGTGAGGCCCTATCTCAAACAAATGAAAGAAAGAAAGACAAGATCAGCGGGGGGCCCACCAGTGGGCAGAGACTTGGAGAGCAAGAGTATTAGTAGACCCGCCTTTGAAGCCCTGACCCTGCTGCCTCCACACATTCTTCCAGGTTCACCATCTGTGAAGATGATATTGCCTGTGGCCCAACTTGGTTGCCGACCTCAGGAGACAGGAGCTGTGCGCCCAGCTGCCGCACCTATGGGCAGGTGAGTGTAGGGCAGAGGGCTAGCAGAGGAGACTGACGTCCTGCCTTGATGTTCCTGGCCCTGTCTCCTTCCTTCCTGGTCTGGCACTGCCAATGCCCCGTCTCCATCCATCCCAGGCTCACATTCGTGTTGGGATATGCCCATAGTCCCCCAAGGGTCCCCTGAGTCCACAGTCCTCTCCCAAGGGACCGTCTCTTCTCCGAGCCCATCCAAGTCCTTTTTAGGTTGGGGATAGTGGCACAGGCCTGTAATCCAAGCACTCGGGAGGCTGAGGCAGGTGGATCGCCCTGAATTGGAGGCCAGCCTGAGCTACATACTGAGTTCAAGGCCAGCCTAGCTGCACATCGAGACCCCGTCTCAAAAAACAAAAAAACCCTCTCTAAAGGACCTGAGGATGTAGTGGTTCTCCTCAAGGCCCTGCCCAACTCTGCAGCCTCACATGTGAAGGAATTGGCAGATGGTCCCTCCCCTAGGCCCCGCCCCCTGCACTTCTAGACCCCACCCAGTGGCGCTCTAACCCCGCCTCTTCTGTCCAGACCTTCGCCGACGGGGCGGACCTTTGTCGCTCTGCCCTGGGTGACGCCCTGCCAGTGGCAGCTCCTGGCTCCCGCCATTGCCTCAACCTTCCCACATCGGTGTCCCCTCGTTGCCGACCAGGCCGGAGTGCCCGGGAAACTCGTCCGTCCGCCCCGGACACCGCGGGAAGTGGCAGCGGCAGCGGCAGCGGCAGCGGCCCCTAGCAGACCCCTCTGGAAGCGACCCAAACTCGACCACTGTCTCCTCCCTCTGAATAAAGTCCCAGCCAGAGCACTTGTGTGGCTGCTCCTTGGGGAAAGAACTGCCAGGAAGTGAGGGGTCTCACTTCACAGCACTCTGAATCCTCCTCCTACCAGAGCCCTAGGAGAGCCTGTTTCCTCCCCTTGTGAAGAAGGTCCGCCCCGGCAGCTGAGGCAGGAGGATCGCCGTGAGTTCGAGGCTGGCCTGAGCTACATAGGGAGACCCTGTCTAAAAAAATAAAAGGAAGGGGCAGTGTCAACTTAGGCCTAGTCACCAGAGCAAGGCTAATGATCCCTGTGTGCCAGGTCACAGGGAGATGGAGAGATGAGACCTTTCCTGTCCTCAGAGAGGGCGGGACAGCAAGTCAGCATTTCAAGTCCCCCTGGAGGACTGCTCAGGCTTTATTCAGCTGTGAAACCCACTCAGCTACAAGTGCCTTTCAGCTGAAACAAGGAAGCTTCAGGAAAGGCTGAATCTAAGGGTTTAAGCGATGTTAGAAATCTACGTGTCACTGGGTGTGGTGGCACATGCCTGTAATCCCAGCACTCTGGGAGGCTGTGGCAGGAAGTTCTCAAGTTAGATCCCAGCCTGGCAAATGTAGTGACACTCTGTATCAAAATAAAAAATGCTAGGAGAACCTCAGTTTCCCCTAGGTTCAACCCCTAGTACCATACACACACACTCTCTCTCTGTTTTTTCAGTCTTTTTTTCTACTACACTCTGGACAAGAGCTCCTCATAGCGGCAAACATGGACCAGCGCCTCCATGATCCAGGGGTCATGACATGGCCTGGTTAGGAGAAGCACTGGCCAGTTTCCAGGCCTGGCTGCCATCGGTCCATTAGCTCATCACCAAACCAATCACGGTGCCCAGGGAACACTGTCCTGGCCGGCTGGATCCAGGTTATGATGGCGCCTGAGGGCTCACAGGGGGGTTGAGGATGGGGGAGGGGTAGCTTGCCCAAAGGAGAATCAGGTGCTGGAACCAGGAGTGGGAAGGAGCACTGGGCAGGGAGTCAAGACATAACATTGACACTGGGTATGGTAGTGCACGCTTGCCATCCCACCACCCAGAAGGCTGGGGCAGGAGGATGGTCCTGAGTTCAAGACCACCCTGAACTACATAGTGAGACCCTGTCTCAACAACACTGCCTCCCCCTGCAAAATCAAATGGTCAATCACACAGACCCATTCTGTTTAGGTTCCAAAAAGCAGCAGCTGCATTCCCCTGGTGAGCGCGTGCGCACGCGCACACACACACACACACACACACACACACCACTGCTTGTTCCCTAAATACAGCCCCTGGACTCGCTTGTCCTCAAACAACTTTAATCCTGGAGGCAGGGGAGGCCGGCAGAGGGTAGCTGGCTGGCTTCTAGAGGGCAGTGGCTGACTCCAGGCCACGCTCCTGGAAGTACCGGTGTGGGGGGCGGGCTTGGAGGCCTTCGCTTTGGAAGTAGGATGTGATCTTCCTGGATCCCTCCTGCTCCTCGGCTGCGGAGTCCTCCCTGGGGGAGAGGGTGGCACTGACCACTTCTGGCTGAGGCTCAGCCTCCCTCCCTGCTGCCCAGGGCACCTGGGTGATACCCACCACATAACACCTTCCGCCTCCTTCTCCAGGATGGCCTGGGCTGTACGCCAGCTGAACCGGACGAACTGTGGGAAGCCGAACACGGGCTCCACGTGCTTCCTCAGCCAGGCTTTCGTCTTGGGGTCTGGGGGGACAGTGATGGTGGCAGCGCTGAGCAGAGGGACAGCTGAGCTCCTCACCACGCGTGCTGGATTCCTCCAAGTCCCTCCCTGAGGCTGCTCTGTCTCTGGCACCTTCCTACTTCAGCCCTTTGCACAGACAGGTTAGTCCCGCCCTCCCACAAGGCACCTGGCCAAACCGTGCTCACGGTGCCATCTCAGCACTGTGGGAGGCTGAGGCAGGAGGATTACAAGTTTGAGCCCAGCCTGGGGAGCTCAGCAAGATCCTGTCTTGAAACAAATTTTTTCAAAAAGGTTAAGGGGTGTAGGTCAGGCCAAAGGGCTTATGTCAATTTCCAGTGCTGAGAAAGAGAAAGAAAACAGTGCAGCTTACGGGGAAACTGCCTCTAAGACATCCTCCGGCCCCAAGGACAAGGATCATGAGACAAGCATTTCAGGGAATTTGTCTTTTTCTTTTTTGGGGCGGGGGCATAGTGGGAATTGAACCCAGAGCCTGCGCATTCAGCTGCATCCCCAGTCCTTTTTATTTTGAGACAGGGTCTTAGGGATTTGCTAAACTGCCCAACTTTCAGTCCCCCTGCCTCAGCTTCCCAGAGTATTGCGATGCAGCTGTGTGCCACCCTGCCCGATTCCCAAGTGGTTTTAGCTTCCCCTGAGATCTACCCCACAGGCTCCCTCTGTTACCCCACCCAACCGCCAGCCCCTCCCTTAGCCCCCCGACCAGAGGACCCCTGGAGCCCCGCTGCTGCCTGCTCACTTTATCTTCTCTGGTCTGGGGAGAAATGCGAGTCTCAAGCGTGTGAAATGTGCCTCTACCACTGAGTGGCACCCCGCCCTGCAGCTCTACCTTCAGGCAGGAGAACCGAGGCAAGTTGGAGGCCAGCTCTGGCTACATAATGAGTTCAAGGCCAGCTGAGACTACACAGTGAGACCCTGTCTCAAAGAAGAAACAAAAAGGTAGGGAGAGGAGATAGGAGGGAGGCTATCAGCTGGGCTGCTGCCTGGGCCTTGGCCTCTTCTACCAGGGAGCAGGTGACGGCGTAAGTCAGCAGGCCCAGCTCTGGTCACGTGAGCATCCCCAGCACAGCCAGCGTCTGGGGTGGTGGTGGGGGAGGCGGGACACCCTCTGCTCACCATTGGGGTAGCCAGAGCCATAGTCAGTGTCCAGGTCCTGCACTTTCTCCACGAACTGCCAGCTCTTCACGGCCTGGTCCCGAGCCACCTGCAGGCAAGACAGGGGCTGGGGGGTCTTGCTCCTCCTCCACAGCCTGCCTGCCCCGCGCCCAGGAGGATGCCAGAAACTGGCTGTGGCCAGCGGGCCCTGACCTTGGCACAGATGCTTGCGGCACTGACCACAGGGTAGAGGGCATCTGCTTTGGCTTTGACAGTCACTGTAACATCAGGAAAGCGCTGCTGCAGCCGCTCCTGATATGTCTCTGGCAACCCCACAGTGTCCACAAATACCTGTCATGGTGACAACAATGTATTCAATCAACAAACAGCTGAAGAAACAATTAAGTAAAGGACTCAACTCCTAGCCTTTCACTTACTGTTCCCATCGCCAAAAACACTTTTCCTTCTTCTTTTATGGTACTAGGGATTGAAGCCAGGTTATCACATATGCTAGACAATCACTGAGCCATCACTGAGCTATAACCCCAGGCCTGATAGAATATATTTTATATTAGAAAAACAAAACAAAACAAGCAGGGCCTGAAGGTGCACCCCTGAAGTCCCAGCACTCAGCCGGTTGAGGCATGAGGACTGCCGCAAGTTCACAGCCAGCCTGGGCTACATAGTGAGTTCAAGGCCAGCCTGAACTGCACAGTGAGAGGGCTATACCTCAAAACATATATCTCAAAACATAAAGGGCAGGGGCTATAGCTCAGCAGCACAAGCACCTGCCTGGCAAATGCAAGGTCCTGAGTTAGATTTCCAGTACTCTCCTAAAAAAATTTAAAGCTGGGTGTGGTGGTGCATGCCTGTAATCCCAGCACTCAGGAGGCTGAGGCAGGAGGATCGTTGCGAATTCGAGATCAGCCTGGGCTACAAAGTGAGCTCAAGGCCAGCCTGGACTGCAAAGTGACACTCTGTCTCAAAAAAGACAAAAAATAAATAAATTAATCAATAATTAAAAAAAAAAAAAAAACGGGATAAGTAACAAAGAGCACCAAAGAGCTAAAAGGAGTCATAATTTTTTGTTATTGTTGTTCTGGTTCTTTGAAACAGGGTCTTGCTATGTGGTTTTGGCTGGGCTTTAACTCATGGGTGGTTTGGGCCTCAGCCTCCCAGGTGCTGGGATTACAAGCGTGCCTCACCATGCCCAGTGGTCATTACTTTAAGCAGTGAAGAGTAAGGCTCAGAGAAGATCCAAGAAGGTGACTATTGAATAAAGCTTTGAAGCACGACAGGAAGGAAGGCAGGTGAGGATCTTGGAAAGAGTGCTCCAGGAGGTGGGAACAGCTAGTGCAAAGGTCCCGCATTGAGAGCCTGCAGAGAATGCCCAGCAGCAGGGCGCTGGCCCCATGCCTGGAGCACAGAAGTGAGGTCAACAAAAGAATGAGGCTGCGTGGCACCTCCACAGCCACGCCAGTTCTCAGGAGTCAGCGTTATCTGTGTACGGCTCACCAAGGGCAGGGCCTCTGTCATGGGCTCCAGTCCAGCACCTCCAGCTTTGCACGAGGGGCCTGGCCCCGGCCTCCTCCTCAGCACAGCCTGCACACTACGACCCCTCCGTCAGATGCATTTCCCTATCATTCCCTCAAAACAGCCTGTTCCTTGCCTCACAGCAGTCAATGCTGTGCCAATGGATGTTCTTCCCTGGTAATTTCATCTCATTCTCCCCCACTTGACGTAATTTCCCAATTTAATTTCCACTGTGATCATAATATTAAATGTCAAGATTTACATTTCACAAAGATGCTGGTCTGCTGCGTGGGGAGCAGACTGAAGAGGAGGGGGCTGGAGGTGGGGACCAGGGAGGGAGTTGGGCAGGCTTCTTGGCTGGGGGGACCCTGGCCTAGGACACATGCTGTAGGAAGGTGGACGGATGTAAGATTTGTTCCAGATCCTCAGGGCCTTTAGGAAAGGTCTCTGGAGCAGACAGGTATGGGACACACATTGGGCACAAATAGTGCATTCATAATGTATCTTTTTTTTTTTTTTTTTTTTTTTTGGTCTTTTTGGGACAGGGTCTCGCTATGCAGTTCAGGCTGGCCTTGAACTCACAGCAATCCTCCTGCCTCAGCCTCCTGAGTGCTGGGATTACAGGTGTGCGCCACCACACCCAGCTTCATAATGTATCTTATACTAAACTGCCCACTACGTTTTTTCCCCTAGGAATAAATTTCATTTTCCTTCTTATTTTTTTTGGGAGGAGACTGGATATGACCCAGGACATTGCACATGTTAAGCACAGGCTCTACCACTGAGCTACACTCTTACCACCCACTGCACTTTTTTTTTTTTTACCCTCCCATTTTATCCCAAGGTAATCAAAATGAAACCCAAAAGGTCGGCTCACCTGGGTGACGTTCACACCCTGGTCCAATGCGTACTGGATTAGCCCTGAGGCTGTGTCATGGGAGAGAGAGTTCAGGTTGTATTTGACCCTACAGCAGAGGAAAGAGCTCAGCTGACCTCACTGCAGCCACAGACCCAACCAATACACGCTGGCTGTCCCTCCGCGCCAACCTGTCCGGGACCCTCACCGCCCAAGCATGCTGGTGGAGATGAGGTTTGGAGACAGCACGTCCAGGGCCCAGCCCACAAAGTCCCTGTCCTCTTCCATTTTCGAAAACAGCCTCTCCCGCTCGTTCTCCGACAGGGTCTTTGAGTCTGGGTGGAGTTGGACAAAAGGGGGGGCAGCCGGTTCTCTCAATTCCTGCCCGCTCCTCCATTTCCCACCCGCCCTCTGCACCTGCTCAGGAAGCCACCCCCAGTTGTATACCTCAGGCTCACCTGCCACCTTCAGGGCCTCCAGATCTGCCAGGCGGGACTGGGGACAGTAACAGATGGCGTAGACCATGGGGCCTGGGGAGGAGGGAGGTCAGGTTTCCGAGAGCAGGGTGCAACCAAAGAGCCCGCGAAAGCTGCAACCCCCGCTCCATCACCCCAGCTTTCTCTGGTGTCCGTGGTCTTCCCACGATCACTGCCCCTCCCCAACCCGGACCCCATCCTTGCATCACGCCCTTCCCATTCCCTGCCCTGGGGCCCACCCAGCACGGGGCCCCGGCCAGCTTCGTCCACGCCCAGAACACAGGGCTCTTTGCGACACACGGCGGGCACAGGCGAGCTCAGGCGACAGCGGCCGGTATTGTCCTTGTCCAGCTCGCTGAGGTCCATGATGCCACCGACAACACCCGCAGTAACCAACGCTGCAGGTTCCGGTCTCTGCGAGTTTTCCGCGGGCCCCGGAGCGGCGCTGGATTCTGACCAATTGGCACACAGGACACGCCCCGACGTCCCTGCAGGCCTTGCACGACAGACACCGTCCTGTGGCCTTCTGGGAATTGTAGTTCATAAGGGTTCCGCTGAGAGTGTAGTTTGCAGTACTGTGTGGGCAGGGTCTCTTTGAAAACTCCGTCCTGGGGCTTCGAGGGCTCCTCCTGGAGAGGCTAATGAGAAAAGAGAAATTAAAGGACACTGAGGCAGAGCTCAGACGCCTTTCAGACCTAGAATGTCAACTATCACTGCACTCCCAGAACATGGGTCTCCACCGCCCACCTTGCACTCAGATCCCAGCACTCCCGGCCCTTCCCCCTCAGCACACGGGCTCTGCCCCCTGCATTTAGGGGTTCTTTTCTTCCAGTGAGCTCAGGGCTCCTGCCTTGGGGTTCCCGAACTCTCTTCCTTGGTCGCCCACTCGGATCTTCCCTATACTCAGGACCTCTCCCTCCTACTGTCTCTCTCATTCAACCCAAGCCCTCCCATTCTGGGAGACTGAGCCAGTAGGATGGCAAGCTCCAGCCCAGCCTGGGCAACTTAGCAAGTCAACCAAGACCTGGTCCCAAAATAAAATAAGGCCAGGCTGGTAGCCCACGCCTGTAATCCCAGCACTCCAGAGGCTGAGGCAGGAGGATCGACACAGTTGGAGGCCAGGCTGGACCTTAGAGTGAGTTCAAGGCCTGCCTGGACTATATAGGGAGACGGTGTGTCAATAAACAAACAAACGGCTGGGGATGTATCTCAGTGTGAACATTCTGTGTTCAACCCCCAGCACTAGGAAGAAAACAGAGGGCTTAAGCCAAGTCTCCCCTACCCGTAATGGAGATCCCAGACCCCCACAGATTCCTGTTAGGGGTCTCCATCCACCACGTGGGCTCCTTTCCGGAAATTCAGCGTTCAGGTCCCCACCTCTGCCCTATTGCCTGTCTCAGCTGAGCTCTGGCTCCCAGCTGATTCTGCCACTCCACTGCCCTTCTCCTCTTCCCTGGAGTAGTGGCGAGCCTGAACTCTGCCTGGAGCTCGTGGTGCTCACCAAGCTCCTGCCCTCGCGTAGGGTCCCATCTCTTCCTTCTCTAGCGACCCCTACCGGTCTCCACCACCTCTCTTGGCTTCTCCCTGGCTATCACTGGGGCTTCTGTGCCCTGATTCTCTGCGCTCCACCACCAGCCTCAAGGCGCAGCTCCCCTTCCCTTCCTAGCCCAGACCCACCCGCTCGCCCTTCCTGGCTCCCACCCTCCCCGGGGACTCCAGACCTGCTCAGCCCCACCCTCCCCGCCTCCTCGCCCAGGGCTCACTGGCTCAGAGCCTCCAGGCGCAGTCCAACGGCCGGCAAGACGCACAGTCCCGCTGCCGGCAGGGCCTCCTCTGCACCAGGCTCTCGCGGTCCATGAACACCGGGCCTGGTGCCTTGCCCAGCACCTCGCGGCTGCGCTCCTGCTTGCCTAGGTCACAGAGACAGCGCCACTTTCCCCACGGGCCAAGGATAGAGTCCTCCTTGACTAGAAATAGACGGGGGTGGGGGTGGGGGTGGGGGTGGATAAAGACCCAGGTCGGCAGAAATTGTTCCTCCCCCTATTTGATGTATGCCTGTCATCCCAGCACTCTGGGAGGCTGAGACAGGTGGATCCCAAGACCAAGCCCAGCCTGGATAATTTAGCAAGACTCTGCCTCAAAGGAAACAATGAAAAAAAGAAAGAGAAAGAAAGAAAGACAAAGGGAGGAAGGGAAGAAGAAAGGGTCTGGATATGTAGCTCAGTGTCAAAGCCCTGGGCTCAATCCCCAGTATCAGAAAATAAAAACAAGTTAGGCGTGGTGGCTCATGCCTATAATCCCAGCACTTGGGAGGCTGAGGCAGGAGGATCGCTGTGAATTCAAGACCAGCCTGGGCTACAAAGTGAGCTCAAGGCCAGCCTGAACTGCAAAGTGAGACGCTGTCTCAAAACTAAATAAATAAATAAATAAGGAAAGAAAACAAAAACCCTAACATTACAGCTCATCTTTGCTAGACTCTGTTTCTGTGACATTTTGTGCTTCCATTAGTTCCAAGCAAGGAAACGGAGACTTTGCTATTCAAAGATGACCAAGCCAGGTGTGTTGGCAGACACCTGTAATTACAGTACTAGAGAGGCTGAGGCAGGAGGATCTCTAGGAGTTAAAGACCAGCCTAGGCTACATAGTGAATTCAAGGCCAGCTTGAACTACACAGTGAGACCCTGTCTCAAAAAACAAAAAAGCAACACATTCATTGGAAGAAAGATAGCCTCTTTAAGAAATGGTGCTAGAAAAACTGGCTCTGCACATGCCAAAGATTAAAATTGGGCCCATATCTTTCACCATGCACTAAACTAAATTTGAAATGGATCAAAGATCTAAGTACTAAAACAGAAACGTTAAATTTGCTGGAAGATAGGATAGGTAAAACTCTTGAAGACACTGGTGTAGGCAAAGACTTTATGAATAAAACTCCACTCACACAGCAACTATCACAAAGATTCAACTGGGATCTCATCTGATTTTAAAAAAAAACTTTTGCACAGTAAGAGAAACCACCAACAAAATGAAGAGACAACCCACGATGGGGGAAAAAATGTTTACCAGCTGTGCCTTAGACAAAGGATTATTATCGAGAACATACAAAAAATTTTAAAAATCCGACCTCCCAAATTTAAAAACCCAATCCAAAAATGGGCATCCGAGAGGAATACACACTTCCCAGGTGAACAAATTCAAACATCAAATAAATATATTTTTAAAATGTTCAATATCACCAGTCATTTGAGTGTTGCAAATTAAAACAACACTGAGATTCCATCTCACCCCAGAAAGAATGGCTATTTTGAAGAAATCAACCAATAACAACTGCTGGAGGGACTGTGGGGAAAAAAAAAACAACCCTTCTGCACTGTTGCTGGGAGTGTAGACTATGCAACCACTGTGGAAATCACTGTGGAAATTTTTTTTAAAAAACTAGGATTGGAGGTCACATTTGGACCAGCTATTCCCCTCTGGGTATTTTCCTAGAAGAATTAAAAACATTGTACCACAGCAATATATGTTTATAGCAGCAAAATTTGTAATAGCTAGATCTTGGAAACAACCCAAATGCCCACTAGCCAAGGAATGGATAAAAAAGATGTGGTCTTTTTATACAAGGGAGTACCACTCAGCCATAAAGAAGGATAAACTGGAGACTTTTATAGGTAAATGGATGCAACTCAAGACCATACTCATAAGTGAAATAAACCAGGTGCAGATGTGTAAACATTGTATTGTCTCCCTAATGTGAAAAGCTGAAAGATTAAGTAAGATCCAAAATGTACAATAGATATTACAAAATGGGAAATAAACTTCAAAAGGAAAGAGAAACTGTTATGGGGGAATCGAGAAGGGAATAGCAAAAAGAAAAAAAGATATTTGTGTATGTATGGCAGTTAGGGATGGGGATATAGCTCAGTGGCACAGCACCTGCGTGGCAAGTGAGGGTCCTGAATTTGATTCCCAGTACCAAAAAAAAAAAAAACCAAAACACCAAAAAACAAACAAAAACAAAACAAAACAAAAAACAGTTAAGATAGTTATACTACTGATTGTTCTTAGCTCATTGAAAATAAAGGTATGCACTAATATTGACTGGACAATTAAATGCCAATATGTTGTAATGTTGTAACTAATTTAAAGATAACAATATACAATGTATTAACCATTGTTACCCTCCTAGTATCTTGCTTTGAAATTTTGTTTGATTTTTTTCTCTTTAAAATAAAACAAAAACACAAAGATGACAACCATCAGTAAGGGATTAATCCTCGGTCTATCCAGCGGGCGCAGTGCCACCTGACCAGCAGGCCTGACAGGTGGTAAATTAAATGGCATAATTGACATAATTGACGGTACTTAAAATCCCTGGCGCTGTGCTAACACGTAGAACCAAAGCAATTATCATGATCACGTTGAAAGCAGCTATAACTTTGTTTCTGTTGTTAGCTTTTTGCACAGCGCTGGAGTTGGAGCCCAGGCTCTCCGCCACACTAGGCAGGCGCTGTCCCGCGGAGCCACGCCCCCAGCTTCCCTTCAGATGCTCTGCACGGATTCCTCCTCCGTTCCCGGGGCACAGGCCTGATCTCAGCGCCGAGGCTCCCTTGACCCTGCCCCTTCCTGTTCTACCTCGCCAGACCTCTGCCACACCCCTTCTCATTCCTTTGTCTTTTGGCCTGGGCACCTGCTTTCGCATATCCGGGGCTCTCCTCAAATCTGCACTGGGGCCTCTGCTTGTTACTCGGCTCCTATGGTACCGTCCAAACCCTTTCTGGTTTCCCCGGCTTCCCCGCCTCCTTCTTGGTCGGTCTCGTCCTCGTTTCTCTGGCAGTGTCTCCTGCTTGGTCAACCTACCACGTCCCCCGCCGCTGGTTGCTGCTCACACACAGCGGCTGTTGCCATTTACGGCGCGGAAAACTGAACCTCGCGGCAGTCACACGTCCCAGGGGACGAGAGCGGGGATGCGCGGGGCGGGGTGTGTTCGCGATCAGTGCAGCGATGGGCAGCCCCGCCGCCTGCCATTACCCTTTTGATGTTGCAGCCGCAGCAGCTCCCAGGTGTCACCTTCGCCCTGCTGGCCGAAGTACTGGTAGTCTGGGTAGACCTGGGCAGGGATCTCCGGCACCAGGAGCATCAAAAACGGCAGCAACAGCGCAGGAGGGCTCCCGGCCATGCAGGACTCCAACCGCCCGGAGCGCCAAGGGGCCGAGCGAGCGCCCCCCTGCGCAGGTTCGGTGGTCCGGACCGGCCGCGCGCCTCCCCCCGCTAGACGCAGTGGACCCGCCCGCTCGCGGCCACGCCCACTTGTCCCCGCCCGGCGCCTGCAAGGTTCGAGCTGCGTATAAAAGGCTCGGCGGCCCAGTGACTACTGGGAGCTGTGAATTTCAGTTTTGCGTCTTCTCCTCTGCGGGTCCGGCTTTCACCTACGCAGGTACAGCCACGCCGAGTGCATCGGACTCGGGGGAGCCTGCTCGGTGCAGTTCTGGGCCTATGCAGACCTCACCCCCGGCCTCCTTTGTTCTTTCCATCCGCCATGGTGCCCGCCTGTCCTTGCGGGGGAAACCGAGGCCAGAGTCTTGCTTGCGAGTCGAGGCGCGATCGCCGAGCCTCGCGCCCTCCTCTTGGGCCTTTGCTCTCTGGTTAGGGCTGGGGACCCCAGGCAGGCCTCTGATGGGGTCCCCGCGGCCTGGGTAGGGGGGCGGGTTCTGGCACGGCCTTGCAGACCCGGGCAGGGGAGGAGGGACCGGGCGGGGGCTGGGACACGGCTGCTCCGCCCCTCGGACTCAACCCCAGGGGGCCTATCCCCCTTGACCTTGGGGAGCTAGGACAAAGGGTCCCCGGGCACTGAGCGCGGGGTCTCGGCCTCTAGCCATGGCATCCGGCAGCGCGCACATCGGGAAGCCGGCCCCGGACTTCACGGCCACCGCTGTGGTGGACGGCGCCTTCAAAGAGGTCAAGCTCTCGGACTTTAGAGGTGAGGTGACATCAAGGGGCCAGCATGTCGGCCCGCTTTGCTGCAGAGGGGCGGGCCTGACGCCTGTCTCTCCTTCTGTCCTCAGGGAAGTACGTGGTCCTCTTCTTCTACCCGCTGGACTTCACCTTCGTGTGCCCCACGGAGATCATTGCGTTCAGCGAGCACGCTGAGGACTTCCGAAAGCTGGGCTGCGAGGTGCTGGGGGTCTCCGTGGACTCGCAGTTCACCCACCTGGCTTGGTATGGGCGCGGTGGCGTTGCCGAGCCCACACCACAGGGCCGTGTTCTGTGGCCTCCTTTCCCCACCTTGAAAGAGTGGAAAGAAAGACACCCCATTCCTCAGTGCTGATGACAGTAATTCGAATTCGGCAGCTAGTTGTTGGACTGGGACGGGAAGTTGCAGATGCTTTGTCTCCCTTAGTTATTCGAGGCAGGCTGAGACAGCTTATTTACAGAAGTGGAAACTCTAGTTCAGCAAATGAAGGGCTGGGCCTGGGATCCCAGCTAGGAGGCTGGGGACTCTGACCACTGCATGGTACCGAGTCCAGGAGCACATGGAAAGCCACTTGGCCAGAGGTGGAGTTTTAGCCCCTGGTTCCCATCTGGTGGCCAAGATATGGGATTCAGGCCCTGCACAGACCAGCAGGGCATGGTGGGTGGGGCTCCTGCTTTAACTCCTTTATCTCTTGCCTCCAGCACCTCAACTTCAGCCCTTATCACACCCAGGCCCACAGGGGAAAAATCCCCTCTGAGCCAGGCACCCTAAAGCCCTAACCCTGTCTCTATTATCCCCAGGATCAACACGCCCCGTAAGGAGGGAGGCTTGGGACCCCTGAACATCCCGCTGCTGGCCGATGTGACCAGAAGCTTGTCTGATAAATATGGAGTGCTGAAGAGCGATGAGGGTATTGCCTACAGGTACAGGGGGCCCTCTGCCCAACTCAGGAAACCCCTGTCCCTAGAGTGACAGGACTCCCGGTGGGGCTCCCTTCCCTGGCCCTGGAAGTGAGAGCTCCCAGCTCCTCACTTGGAAACTGTATCTGCTGTATCTCCAGGGGCCTCTTCATCATCGATGGCAAGGGCATTCTGCGACAGATCACTGTGAACGATTTGCCCGTGGGGCGCTCTGTGGATGAGGCTCTACGGCTGGTCCAGGCCTTCCAGTACACAGATGAACATGGGGAAGGTGAGCAGGATGTACACGCACATCCTCATGGCCACGTCCTCATGGCCATGTCCTCAGCTCCTCTGTATCATGCAGACATGCACAACCCACCCCAGCATCTGTGTAGAATGGAGGTTAAGGCCCCATTCATCTCAGGGCCTTATCTATAGGAAATGCCTTAATACAAGACCAGGAAGTGCAGACAGGTATGGTGCCACGTGCCTGTAATCAAAGCACTTTGGGAAGCTGAGGCAGGAGGATCACAAGTTGAAGCCTAGCTTGGGCAATTTAGAAAATTACTGAGATCCTGTCTCAAAATAAAAGATAAAGGGCCTTTGGAATCTAGCTCAGTGTGAAGGCCTTGGGATCAATACCCAATAACTGAGGAGATGGGGTTGGGAGGTGATAGCTATAGAAGGTGTTTGAGAAGACATGCTTGAATAATGGGAATTGAATCAGACTTCCTGTTTTTTTTTTTTTAATGTGCTGGGGATGAAACTTTGCCCGCCCCGCTCCCCGCCATATGCTAGGCAAGCACTCACCACTGAACTACATCCCTAACCTGCTCACAGTACCTTCTCATATGCAGGAGGCAACCTGACTATAGGCATGCAAAAGTCCATTAGGTCAGGCGTGGTAGCGCACGCCTGTAATCCCAGCACTCAGGAGGCTGAGGCAGGAGAATCATTGCAAGTTCGAGACCAGCCTGGGCTACAAAGTGAGCGCAAGGCCAGCATGAACTGCATAGGGCGACACTGTCTCAAAAAGACACACACACACAATTAAAAGAGCTCCCTGTGAAGGCCCTGGGTGCAACCCCTAGTGTGGAAGGATGGTGGCGCTAGAGAGCGAAAGGAATTAAATAGGACAGGAAAATGTTGATCAGAAAATGTGGGGCATGGTGGCACCAGCATGTAATCCTAGCACTCGACTATAATTGAGTGGGAGGCTGAGGCAGGAGGAAGAGGCAGGAGGAAGAGGCAGGAGGATCGTCCCAAGTTTGAGGCCAGCCTGGACCACGTAGTGAGATCCTTGTCTCAAAATAACCAGAAAATGCTATGGCTGGGCTTATAGCTGGGGTTTTGGCCACTGCTTCCGATTTTTTTTCCCTTGAAACAGGGTCTTACTATGTGGCTCTGGCTGGCCTCATACTCGTAGAGATCTTCTTGTCTCAGCCTCCTTGAATGCTGAGATGATATGCCACCACACCCAGCCTTCTTTCCTGTGTGTGTGTGGGGAGGGTACTGGAGGTTGAACCCAGGGCCTTCCCAGCACTTTTTAATTTTGAGACAGGCTCTCACGTAGTGGCTGAGTTGCCTAGGCTAGTCTCAAACTTGTGATCCTCCTGCCTTACCCTTGCCAGAGTCCTGGGATTACAGGTGTGCTCCCCTGCCCGGCTCCAGCTTTTTCCCTGTAATGGAGGCTCTGGTTGTGCCTCCGTCCTGAGTGACTGTGATCCTCACATACACACCCTCTCTTTCCAGTCTGTCCCGCTGGCTGGAAGCCCGGCAGCGATACAATCAAGCCCACGGTGGATGACAGCAAGGAATACTTCTCCAAGCACAACTAGGCTGGCAGATGGGAGCTGGGGAGTGAGTTTGTGTTCTTGGATCCCACCTCTGCTTCTGCCTGGCTGTCTGTGCTGGCCTAGAAAGGATGAATCCAGAAAGGGTGGATCTGCCCCTCCAAACTCCAAACTCCGCTGGGCACAGGCTGGAGAACTTTGCCAAGGTTTTCCCGTCCTCCACTAGGATCGGGCGACAAGTGACCCTTCCCTGGTGCCCATCCCACTGGCACAGGTCTGTAGATGACCAATAAAGTATTAGGGACAGAAATGAGTCTGTCTGTGTGGTTTTTTTGTTTGTTTGTTTGTTTGTTTTCCGGTACCAGGAATCGAACTCAAGACTTTGCGCCGCTGAGCTAAATCCCCAGCCCCTGTCTGTGTGTTCTGTCTGGCATTCTCCCTGTCTCCCTCCCCTTCCCAGGTTCGAAAACCCAACTTGGCTGGGAAACTGACCTCGTAGTTACTCACTTTCACCACAAGGCGGCAGCCTCGCCTCATGCACTGCATACTACTTGCCTTTTTCCCATTGACCTGAGGGAGAGTTCCAAGAGTGGGAGGGCTGTGTTTGTCAACGCTCCCCTCTCAGCAAGTACTGTACCGGGCCTGCTACATCCTGAAAGCTGACCATGCAGGTCAGTGCCCTCATCTCGCCATTAGGCAGCCTGGCTCAAATGCCGTGAAGTAGCTGCGACCTTCCCTGGGTGTCTATGAAAATTAAAGTATGTGGAGCACGGGCAGGCCGTGGGGGCACACCTGCCATTCCAGCACCCTGTGAGGTTGAGGCAGTAGAATCACAAGTTCAACCCAGCCTGAGCAATTCAGCAAGAACCTTTCTCAAAGTAAAAAAAAAAATGAGCCGGGTGTGGAAGCGCACGCCTGTAACCCTAGCGCTTTGGAGGCTTAAAGAAAGATGGCCATGAGTTCGAGGCGTCTAGCTCAAAAAAATGAAAAAAAAAAAAAAGGCTGGGGATGAAGCTCGTGCTAAGTCCATGGGTTCAATCCCCAGTACAAAAAAATTTCCTAGAATGACCCGCCCCCCATGCTTGGAAGGAGTCAGTTATGCTCGGTTGTACGGGAAAGAGGCCTGGAAAAACCAACACCTGGAGCCTGAGGGGACATGCAGGGTCCCTAGGGAGATGGCCTATCTGCCCTGCGGTGAGAGGGGTAGGGAGGCCTAAGAGGCAGCTGCCAGGAGCTAGGCAGCGATCTTGGGGGTGCTTCGGTTCGTGTTTAGTAAGTGGCCATTCACTGAGCCCTGATTTCCTTCACTGAGCCCTGATTTCCTTCCCTGGAACAGGGCTGACAGTCTCATTTCACAAGTAGACCCACCACGAGTACCGCTCGCCAGCAAATACTCTATGAGGGTCAGTCATCCCCGTTGGAATTCTGTGTTCTGCGCGCGTGAGCAACACTCCAGCCCCAACCCCTAAAACCCTGCAAGGCCTCTCTTATTCTCATCTATCTGCCGCCAACTCATTCCATTGCAGGCATAACTGTCTTCTGGCTGTGCTTTCACGGACTCACCGTATCCGGGCAACAGGAACTTTGCATGTGCTCTTCCCTCGGTAAAACTGTCTTCTCCGGACCCCTATTACTTCTAACCTGCTGGAACGTCAACACGTTTCCCGTACCTTCGGCAGAGCAGCTTGCCTCCCCTTCCTGTCCTGTCACCCTGACCTGCTTTTCCTGTCCTAGCCCTTATCACCGTATGATATCACGGTTGTTGACTGTCTGCCATGGTCCAGGCCATGTCTCCAGCCACTTTGTCTCATTATGTTGCCCAGGCTGGTCCCAAACTCTAGCATTCAAGTGACCCCTTTGACTCAGTATCTTATACACAAAATGATGCACGTGTCTGTTCCCCTCACCCAATCACGGTGGCTTTGGGGAGCTTCCTCTGCTGTGCAGGCCTCCAGTTTCAAGGCTGGCTAGGTCCTGTCGGGCAGCCAGCGGCTCCCACCCCATCCCGCGTCCCAGCTGCGAGGGCGGTGGTGGAGTCCAGCGGCCCCGGCAGCACCGCCCTGGCAGGACCAGACCTGGCAGGCGCCTCGCTCCGGGCCTGGCACCGGGAAGGGAAGCTGGCAGGCGGCGCCGCCCTTCCTGGCGGGCTGGGGGCGGCGTCGGCCGAACGAGGCGGCTGAAGCATCCCCCTCCCCCGCCCCGCGCGCGCGCCAGAAGATCAGACCGAGGGGCGTGGGCGCGGCGCGGCCCAGGCGCCAGCTTTGCAAGGAGGCTCAGGGGAGGCTCCCGGGACCCAGGAGTGCCCAGCCCGCCCACCACGGGCGCTCTGGACCCAGGCCTGGGGCTTTCCGCGCCCCGGCAGCCGCCCGCCCGGGAAAATCCCGGCCCCCTTCCCGGTGTCGCAGCACTGCCCGGCAGAGCAGGGGGAGGGGATTCCCGGAATCTGCCCGGAGACGCCGGCGCGTCACTGCGCAGAATCTGACCATATACGGGCTACGCTTCCGCTGCGTCAGCGGGGAAAGCCCCGGCGCGGGCGGGGCCGCGCCTGCGCACAGAGCATCGGGTGGGGGTGGCTAGTGCCCCCTCCTCCCCGCCGTGGATGCTGAGCTTGCTGAGCGGCGGGACTTGGTCCCGCGCTTGGACCTTTCTAACCGATAGATCGGCTGACAGGGGGAGGACTGGAGGCCGGAGCTGGGATCCAGAGGTCCGGACAGCGCTGACAGGGGCCACAGGTGCAGAGTGGAGAGACACAAACAGCAGTTGGGTGGGGGCACTAGCACTCGCCTCCCTCCACCCGCCTGGTTTGGAAAGAAAGACAACAGAATTTAATAAAGAATCAGTTTTTACTTAAATAGATTCAATAAAAACATACGCACACACACACAAACACATTTTAAAATAAACTCTTTAGATATCAAGTGCGTGTTTCTGCCCACAGTACGGTGCAGAGGGGGAGGGCAGGGGGCGGGGGTCCCTTCCCCAGTGTCCCCGCGGGCTCGAGTACCGGGCGGCGGGGCCAGCTCCGCCGCAATCGCCCCCTTCTCCCCTTCCTGTTAAATACACAAATATATTATATTCAATATGAATCGAGTCCGTTTCCAAAAGAAAAAAATAAAAAAAAAAGAATGGAAGGGGGGCTGTAAACGTCGAGGTGAGGGCTGAGCGCGGGGCGCGGCCGAGTCCAGTGTGGCTGGCGCCCCCCGACTGGCGGTGCCCACCGCCTTGCTCACGGAGGCTCGCGCCCAGCAGTCCAGGCCGGGGTCTCTGTAGAGGGCGCTCAGAAGGCGTGGCCCTTGACCCCCAGGAGCAGCTGGCAGCCGTTGCTTACGTGGGTCATGACCTTCTGTTTCAGCTGGGCCACTTGCTCCCGGAGCAGCCCGGCGGTGCTGGACAAGCCCGCGTTCTCAGCCTTCAGCGTCTTCACCTTGTCCTCCAGGCGCGCGATGCGCTCTAGTTTCCGCTTCCGGCACTTGGTGGCCGCCAGTCGGTTCCGCAGCCGCTTGCGCTCCACTTTAATGCGCTCCTGGTCTTCCATGTTGATGGGGGACACCGGCGGCGTGGCGTCGCGGCTGCGCGCCTCAGGCACGGTCTGTGGTTCCTCCTTGAAGGCGGAGGCGCCGCGACCCAAGCCCAGCTGAGCGGGGTGGCCGCCAGCGAAGGGCGGCGCGTGGGGGAGGTAGCTGATGGTGGCCGTCGGGTATGAGCTCCCGGTCCCGACGGCGGCCCCGGCGCCCCCGGAGGACGCAGAGGCCGGGGAGTAGCTGCTGAGGTTGGTGTAGACAGGAGGCGGCTCTGGGCCGGCGTAGACGCCCCCGGGCCCGGCCTGGGCCCCCCCGCCGGGACCCAGGGACACGTTGGGGGGCGTCACGTGGTTCATCTTATGCAGGTCGTCCAGAGCTTTGACGAAGCCGTCGGCGAAGCCCTCCTGCTCCTCGGTGACGCCGCCCCCCGCGCCCCCGGCACCTCCGCTGCTGCCGCCCCCGCGGGGGTAAAAGTACTGTCCCGGTGGCGTGGGCGTCGTTGTGATCACGCCGTTGCTGTTGGGCACGATCAGGCGCTCCAGCTCCGAGGAGGCAAGCTTCAGAGACGCCCCTGTATCTGAGCCCTGACCGGAGAAATAGCTGCCGGCCCCACTGCCTTCCGGGCCCGGGCCGCGCGCTCCAGGCGCCTTCAGTCCGCGGTAGGGGTCTGCCAGGTTCAGCGCCAGGCTGGGCTTCAGGAGTTTGTAGTCGTGCAGAGAAAGGCTTCCAGGGGCCCGCCCGTATCCCGTCGTCGCGTACGAGTCGTCGTGGTAGAAGGGCTGTTCCATTTTAGTGCACATCCGGGCGGCCCAGGCGATCTGGGCAGGGTCCCCGCGGGCCGCCCCGGGCCTCGCCTCACAAGTGGCGCACTGTCCGCGGCGGTGGCCGGGCCAGTCGTGTGATCGCGTGCTCTCGGGAGCTAGCAGCGGCCTGGGCAGAGGTGCGCAAAGCTTTGTCCGGCTTCCGGAGTTCTCTCGCCCTCTGTAGCGCACTCGCTTGCTCCGTATCGCTTCCCCCTTGCTCCCCGCTCCCCGCTCCCCGCCAGTTGCGTTGCTGGCCTGGCCGCCCTCAAGGTCCCAGCCGCTCAGCTGAAGCCACGCGCCTTTATACTGCACTAGTCAGCCGCGGAAGTGAGCTCCGATTGGCCGTCCCTGGAGCCGGGCCCCCGCGCCCCCTCCTGAAGCGTGGGGAAGGGGCGGAGGCGGCTCGCGTCACTGTCAGGAAGCGCGTGTCCTTGTAAACAGCGGCCACGGGCCGGGTGGCTCGGAACGGCTGCCGGGGGAGGGGCTCGAGGGACCCCGGCGCGCGGAGGAAGGGAGGTGTTGCCTGCCCGAGGCACACGGGGGAGGATGTTCGCCTGGACGCACTTGCAGACCTAGTGAAAAGCAAGTGGGGAGGGGGTCCCGGGTGTACCAGGAAGGTCTCGGGGACTCGGGGTGGCTGAAGGAGGTGGGAGGACTGACAGTACACTGGGAGACCCAGTCTCTCACAGTGGGGACAGGGAAGGGTCAGAAGACAAGATACCAGACCCAGGAGGGAATTGGGGGCTGTCGGGCACAAAGCGGTGGAGGGACTGGAATTTTCACAGGAGGGAGGAGGGGAGCGATCCAAAGGGTCAGGGGGCGGAGCTGCAGCACCTAGTATACAAGAAATGAGTAGGGGTTCGGGAGTCCGTGCGAGAGTTGGTGGGTACCCCCGTAAGTGGGAAGAAGGGATGGGGGAAAGCTATGTGTGCAGAAAATGAGCAAGAGTCCAGGGGTACCCTGAGGCAGGTAAAACATACGGGGTAGAAGATGGGGACGTGTCTAATAGAGAGGCGCCCATCTGTGAAACCCTAATGAAGGAGAGTAGAAGGGTCGGGCACACCTGGAGTTAAAAGGACGGTGACGGGAGGGTACCCAATCAGGACTTGCCAGAGGAGGGGATTTGGGTCCCTTGGCGACTGGTACGGCAGTGTCCGCCACGACGGGCATGCCTCCTCGTGAGTGAACTTTAGGCACCTGTATACTCTGTCCCCGACTCCAGATCCCTCCCCTGGTCACCCTGGGCTTGCCCGACACCCAGTCAGCTCCTGGAGCCCGGACCCAGCCGGACTGCTGGGGTGCGGTCGCCCAGCCCCACTCCCTTCCTTAGAAACAGGCTGGGGAAAGAGCGCCGAGGCAGGAAGTGTGGCAACAGCCCCGGGGGGAAGGAACCCGGCCCTATCTCCGTCACTCGGATCCTACGGGACCGTGCGCCCCGCCCTGAGTCCGGCTGCTTTCCGCGTCTCGGAAGAGGAACCCGGGCGTGCGACCCCCCGCCCGAATCTCTGGGCGCAGATCTTGCCAGGCCACTGAGGGTTTAGATCACCGTTGTTCCCCAAGCCCCAGAATGGTTTCTCCCGCGGCTCCGCAGGCGCCTGCGAAGGCAGGCTGCGCGGGGAGGTTCCATCGGCCTGCGAGAGGGGGATGCAGCTGCAGAGCTGGGCCTGGTCGCCATGGCAACGGGTCGGAGTCGGCTGGCAGGACTAAGGGGTGGAGCGACCCCCGGAGTTTCTCCCCGACGCCCATATTAGGCCACAGGAAGGGGTGGGATCTGCGCTGTCCCGGGGCCCGCGCCAGAACCAGGAGCCCCGGGTAGTTGCCAGATCCCAGGGCGCGCCCGGGCCCCCGGACGGCTAGTCCCGACCAGCCCCGGCCGCCACCCCCAGAGCCCCCACGGC